GAAGTTTGTCAGATTGCAGACCTTACAACAATTGTGTGTTTCGTAGCACAGCGAGGTCTGTGTTAAATTCCGTCATATTTCTCCGTGCATCGTGCGGGAATGTATATACTTGTAATAACCTGTGTTCCACACGTATATAGAAGATTGCAATTTTCAACGTAGTTAGTAAATGAGACGCGACGGTAAATGGGCAACGTAAATCTATCGTAAACGTTGAATCGAAAAATCTTAAAAAATTCACGTTTGGACCTCAGGCGAGTGATTCATAGATGTTGGCTATCTCTATTTCTATGAAAAATACAAGCTTGTCTAAGGTATTGACATTTTAATAAACAGGGTTCGCTTGAACATTTTAAATAATTTGGTGTTCTATCACTATATTTCTCTGTCCATTTCACCAAAGAGTAATGTAGAGGTAAACTACATTATACGAGCAAAACCCGTCGACTTTTTCAGGCTTTGAATACCTCTTATACAATAGTAATAAATAATAATAATTATTATTATTATTTACGGTGTTCTATGAAGGCGGCAATGTTCAAAAGAAGCCATGTGATACGGATACCGAAACAGTAATTGAGCATAATTAGAAAATATCCGTCTCCTTAGCTTACTTTTGGGACGTGAGTGAAGTTGTGGATCCCGAATATCCAGCACAAAAAAACTTCCAGTTTCTAGCTAATTTTTCCTAGGGAGTCTCAAACTTGTAACTACTTCGTCGCATTTTCTGTAATTAAACTCCCGTCTTTCAAATAGATCATAATGAAAGATTCTGACTCAGTGTACCTGGTTTGACGGATTAGAAAAAACGCAGTAGTAGACCAGTGTAACATGGAAGGACATCATGCTTCAAAATAAGGTTATTTTATGACAATGCGATATTTCTGCACATTTTTCTCGTTTTCGAGATGCGTCAGAAAATTTGACTGGTTTGTAAACAGGAGCTCTCTTTTGGCAAAGACGACAGGTTGATATAAGCTCGCAAATGGTCTCGTGGAATACAAAAGTATCGAGAGCTGTGGTGGACAACGACGCATCTTAATATACACGGCGGTTAACACTCAGGTTTAATGTACATGGTATCATTTTTATTTATTGACTTCGGTTAAAATAATAAAGGAAAAACTTAAATGAATGCACGTTACCCAATTTGAGCAGGTGCCAGAAACAGACAAGCAGAGATGCCTACTTCACCAAGCTACAACAGTGACCCATTGTTGTATCAACTTAAATGAAAAATTAATCTTGAAAGTCCTCTGTCTACTACCATTATCAGTCGACATTACTTCCACAAAATACGATTGTCTCCAAAATCCCAGTAATTTTCCACTGATAGAAAAATTGTTAAAATCTCAATATAATGTTAAATCGTTTCCAGACGTTATGCATTTTTGAACCGCGGATTTTTACAATAAAAAAGTTACCATCCAAACGGCAAAGAGCCATAGATAATAATGCGTAGTTCGATTTAAGAAAATATCTCTCTACGGGCGTTTAAAACCTGATTGTCTAATATAGGCGGACGGAACTAGTAAAACAGGTCGCAACAAGTTATTTTTTGTAACAGCCATTAAACAAGGCTGAGTGATTAACTTCTAATTACCCAAACGTAATTTTTAAGGACACTGTTTTTTTAAGACGATACATTTGCCTATTTCCAGTTTTACCTGTTCCTCTTTTTCTACCTAATTGTTTCGAATTCTACATCCAATGCTGGCGTTAGACATTGCTTTAGACCCAGGCCACTCCCAGCATCAAACGAAATATGAACATAACCCGTATCCACCAGGAGTCCAAGGCAAGCATGTTTCTATTATACCGTTTTGATGACTCGTTCTCTATCTATGAAGATTGACTGTTTTTCTGGTCTTGTGCCACGACGACGTTTACTACCAAAGAGAGTGTGTACTGCCAAGAATCGTGTGTAATGTTAACCCTGATTCGCCGACTGGGGGAATCATGAAGGTCCTTTACTCCAATGAATATCCCTCGAGCCTTACCGATTTGCACATGTGAGTTGGCTGATTAAACTCGGTATCTGTATACGAAAAAAATATAATGCATTCTGCAGGTACTGACATTTTCAGCAGACAAATATTTACAGTCCTTAGTGATGATGTTCCCACCATTCGTATGGTCTAGAGAGCTGTGCTTGATTAAGGACTGATATTGGGCTTTGTTTCATTGAATCAGTGTTGCTTGTGAATACGATTTAAACATACGTTGGTTGTTCTCGCCCAGTGATGGACTTCCTGAAGTTTGCTTGCTAAAAATTATTGAGGTGCTGTTGATGGAATCAGCAAGGATTGGGCGATGATCAGTTCTCTCTGCTCTTCGCTTGAGCAGGATCGTTAGATAATTTAAAAAAATACACCGGAGTGTATTTTAGCTTTCCGAGCATGGATCATAGCCAGAGGCACTTTTTTGGTTCTAACAGAAGCGGATATCATCGAAGTGATCATGGATACCTAAACATAGAGGAACTAGGATAAATGGAGTTGTACATTGTGCGTATGCAACAATATTACTGAACTCACTGCGGCAACTATTTGCTAAATTAGTTACTCTCACAAGAGCTAAAATCGATTCTAGTTTCATTGGTTGTACTACTTACTGTTGGACCGCGCATACTTCTATCACTTAGTTAAATAAGGATATAAACTAAACCCAGTTCCTGAATGTAGCATAGCGGTAAAGAGTTTGCCTGTATTCTGGTTGTTTGCAGGCAAATTATACAAAAATGTTGGATACTTGGACGCTACAACATGAACATTATCAAAAATAAAAAAAAGAGAAAGAAATTTGAAAGTACTCTTTAGGCAAATACATCTCTAGAAAAGCCTTATAGATCTCTGGGATCTGCTGCCTTTATAGTATATACCATATTATGTTCCTTTCTTTACGACAGCTTGCTTAAGAAGCGCGAGCTTATGCAAGTAAACATCCTAGCTTTTTAGAGTTGAGCTTATCGTGCGGTTATAGGTTTTACAGGTAAGAGTATCTTGACTGTCCACGGGGTTGTTGCAAATAACAATAACAAACCTGAGAGCTCCAGTGGGAGCTCAGCGGCAAGACGAATACCAAGTGGAAAATATAACGTGGGGCGTAGATAAAACAAACAATGATTCCACACATTACACGTCACAGAGTAACTGTCTGATCTTTCCTTCGACTTTTTGCCTCGGCTGACTAATCACTACATGAAACGCAATGAATGCAGAGTAAAAGCTCACTACGTTAAAAATACGTGTGTCTTCTATGGCATAGTTCTGTTTTTCTTGTCGTTGCAAGTGAGCGTGAGTGTTTACATTGCCTAGTCAAAATACACAATAAGCCGAAGAACATAGGTGGTCGATAATTGTGAACTATTTATAGGTCCCTACAGAGACAAAGATTTCCACAACGTAATCCATTGTCGCATTAAACATGGCTTTTCACTATACAACTACTCAAAGATATACATATCAGGCTATATTACGCAGGTAAGTATTAGGAAGAAGATCAAACGATTTGGGTGCGGTTTCTCTCTCAATGCGGCACATAGGTATATAGACGTTGATTTGGGTTTATAAACGTAGACACAGGATGGGCACTAGTCCTGAGCAAACCGCACACGACCCATGAAACAAAGTCCCCAAATCTTTTTTACGATACTAAAATACCAGGCTATACCGTGTCTAGTACTCAACGTACCACAAATCTAGGACACTATAATGCACGATCGAAATCATTGTATCTATCTTGAAGCTCTGCTGTCTTGCCAGTCTGGGCTGTCATCTGTCTTTTGGTCTTGGTCCCTTTCCTGCTGCACACGTATCCTCACTTCTAAGAAAGATGACCCCGAACCGTCCCGGCACTATTATATACAATCGAAAAAAAAAGCCTATTCCCCTCATGAAGTATATCTTCTGCTTGATGAGAGCCGGCGAGATGCAACCCTCAATTCAGTGCTTAGCGGGCCCCCTAATACGTTTCACGAACTTTAGGATTACAGTAAACATATAATAAAAGTAGACACCAACTGTATCGTGACATGACGCGTGCAGGCTACACGGATCCAATGTAACGGTTCGACCAGGTGTTAGAAGAGGAGGGATTCATTGAGAGTTACTATTTCTTGTTGAGGGTATCCGAAGAGAGGTTTAGGCTGGGGGAAGGCAAAAACCAGGCACCAATAGCTCTAGGGAAAGGGAATAGTGGCCCGCAACGAGGTTAGGTTGTAGCCAGATTCCGCAACCTGGATTCAAGCAGTTTCGACTACAGGTGTATTCGTTTGAGTTAATAAGAACTTCAGATGAAAAAAGAGCCACCCAGGTTATGAGAAACGGTGACAATTGATAGTTCAAATTTATTTCGCTTTCGCGCGGCCGTCGACAAGTCTGTAGTACATAGCAAACAAGACTTGTTGGTATTAGGCAACGAGCGGGCATATAGGAATTTTGTATGATGTGAAAACTGAATTTACCCCGTTGACTAGCAATTGAGCCGTGGCATTCCTTTCTGCTCATATGTTGTATAGAAATATAAAAGGGTACCTTTTCAACATTTTTTTCCCTTTAGGCTCAGTACGTAGACACGTATATATGTATTATGCCGTATATTCTGTAAAACCTTCTATTAAATCGACTATACTCTGAGCTCAGTTAAAGTAGCCTCGCAGAGTATGGTTACGGCCATGATCCATTATGCACTTTCATTATTATAATTATTATTATTATCACTGGTGGAAAATGGTAGAAAAAAGGTGCGCATAAATTGAGGCTGCTTATCTGCTCAATCGGCGAGTCCATCTAGCGTCTTCCCGCTAGATGCACTTATGAAAGGACACGTGTAGTTTGCCATCTCCCCGCCGATCCCCATAGCCAAGTCCCAGCGTCGAGCAAACGGGCAGAAAGCCAGAATCTGGCAGCAGGGCTACATAGCGAGCGAGGAAGCATCGAGCCAAAAAGGCCAGAACAACGACTATCATCACTACAACAAGCAACGGCGGCCGTTGGCTAGTGCTTCTTTATTTGACAACGACCTAATAACGCCAGGACAATCGGCTCGTCAAACTCTCCCCATCGTAAATATCAGCGAGACGGTATGTACAATCATTAGATATGGTCTACTTATATGAAATGTTTCTACTTAGTCTGAAATTGAATTCATCGATGAAACGCCTCGCTGTCTTCAGATGCGCATGTCGCAAATCATGCTCATTTGGGTGAATAGACAGACGCTGGGTGCCATTTCTCACGAAGTCAACTCTACTGCAGAGATCATTAGAGACTAACCTTCGTCTTCGTTTGTAGCCGTTTAGAAAAAGTTCTTTAAATTTAGTGATAGGTAACACTACTCGCAGAAGTAGTCTGGACTGACGATCGATCTGTTTCGTAAATGGCCGCTGAGTGTGGTAGGGGTTGGGCAAAACAGACTGCAACTGCTAGACGGGAGGGAAAGACAGTAAGGGGAAGTGGGATTATCAGTAAACAAAATTTAGCTTCAATTGAGGGCATTCTTCCATTGGACGCAGACCGTATCTATATAAGAGTTGCTAGTCCCTAAAAATATAGACGGACCATTATCAAACTTTTGAATGACTAAATAGTACGGCGAAGAAGATTACGCCTTAAACTCATTGAAATCATCATTGAGTTCATTTACATAAAATATTTTCTTTTTGTTAGTTATGAAGAGAGAGAGAGAGAGAGAGAGAGAGTGTGATGCGTTTCAATGAATGTCGAAAAGTGATAACAACGAGTTCTTCAAACAAGGCAAAAATGGCACGAAACGAGATGGCCATAGCTTGATTCGAAGAAAAGTGCTGTGTCCTTTTTGTGGTCCACGGGCTGTACATCTGCATTCATATATCGTCTATGCATGCACCATATCGTCGTCTGCTAGCCTAGGGCGGTAATATCAACGCTTGGCAAATCACTCTCAATTGTCACATAGGAGTATTGCTATGTGCAGACCATACGTATCATGTAGATGTCTCCTATACCCGAGCAACCTGTCTCAGAATAAATATACTTTGCTGATGTACTATATCGAATTTGGTTACAGGCCAGAAAATACGTTTACACACGTTGATGGCAGGCTGACGATATAATTTGGTCAATAAGTATTAATGGATCGGTTAGATAATTGTGATCAGCTTTACCGTGCAGAGCTTCAATAGCTATTCTGATAGTAGGAGGTTCTAGCGGTAAAGAGCCGATGATATTATACCATCTCCTTGAGGGAAACACTGCAACAACCTCATACGTGTTGACATATGTTATAACAGTATTGAGTGTTGGAATATATTTAGTTTTTTTTTTTTTTTTTTTTTTTTTTTTTTGTATACAGAATGGAAGCAAGCCCGAAATGCTAAATTTCCTTGGCGTATAAAACCTTGCTTGACCCGAAAGTCACATCTAGACCCTTAAATACAATCGGCCTTTTGAATTTATCCCTAATTTAGAGTAGACGTATTCAAATACTTTTGACAATTACAAAACACATTTCATTTCGTATACCCGTGAAAAACATTTTAATCATTAATACAGAAGGTAGCATTGCGAAAAAAATAGCTCAACATATTGTAGCCATATTTTCTCTAGTCAGTTCTTCAGCTTACATTCTGTTGAGTGAAGTCTTACGCTGCATCTAGCCAACAGGAGCTCAAAAAATGTTTTTTGAAAAAGCTATTTATAAAAAGGAAATCGAAGTCTCCACTAAATCGCTTCCATTCGAGAAACAAAAAATGTTTTTTCGCGCTGCTCAACATATACATAATCGTAGTTTTCGAACAGCAGTTACACACAACCGCATCGCGGCTGTCGAGATAAATATCGATAGAATTGAAACTATTTGTTTATATTTGTTTATAAGCTGCATCTAGATGAAAAGAAATATGTGAACAAAAAGACCTCTTCTACAGACTTCGCTGTAAGACGTATTTTTCCAGTGTAACCGCCACTACTTTAACTCAGGTCCTAGACCCTATTACGAGTCATCTGTAGCACTTGCTTTTCTATATACACAAGTCTTCTTTTCACCAACAGGGCAGTGTTACTGGGGTGAGATTGATTGAAATCTCACTCAAATACGCCAGGCACAATGGGTTTTATTCTAGGCTACTATACTATTTAGTATCGTGTTTTCGGTAAAGGCTTGCATGATTGGAGACCCAATTTCGAATTATATGGCGTCTTTGTGTCGGTTGTCTACTTTACCGGCAAATGTGTGGCCCTTTGTTTAATGCAGGCTCGATTTGCAATTTCGACATAGCGTACACAGTATCCTATTATACTGCTTTTTTAAGCACTTCGCCCTTACGCGACAGGCACGTCGTCCACTATTTCATGTTCCATAGGATACGATCATACATTAGAAGTTATCAAAAATTAAATTATGCCTATGTTGGTAAATGAGCCAGGAGTCCTTTCTGCGACCGGCCTTTGCATTAGTGTCGGTAAAGCAAGCTCTATGGCAGCGATGTGACTCACTCTGGAAGTTTCTTTGTAAAATAAAACAATGCAAAAGCCTCTATATCTTTGCATTTTTAAAGAGAACCTGAGATTCTCGTGAACCATCTAATATGGGTTGCCAATTACTAGCCTTTAAATTCCTAATCGATTTGGGCCCTTTCTTTTTATGATTCTTTGGGTATCTTAACCATATTTTTTGTTGGGGATTTTTTGAGTTGTAATATGCAGATCCGAAACCAACTTTTCGGAAGCCGCATAGAACATGGTGACAGCATTGATTATTGCTAATAAATAACCAGAAGAATATATAAGTCGCACGTACGGTGCTTTCCCTCTATATTTCGAGCTTTATGTCCGGCATCGCCATTAGGCGTAGTTCCATAAGACGGACGACTGGCTTCCAGCACGAAACGAAGCCCGGGCTCAAACCTAGACTACAACGTGTCCCCGACGTAGGGTGTTTCCGGCGTAAACATATGGGAGCATAAGTTACTGTCACGCATATTCCAAAAACAAACCTTTTGCTTTTGTCATGATGAATTGTTAATTTTATTCTGTTTAGAAAAAAAAAAAACTGATTTTATTTAAGTGCTCCGAATAACCCGTAAAGGCTACAGCGAAGTGGCCCTTCCGAAATACGTCCTATTTCGATTTGAATATTCCATATGCTTAGATGCTCAACAGAAATTTCTACCTTGACTTAGGAAGTAAGGTTTCGATGTTTCCTGCTTTCGTTGTTGCAAACGGTGAGCACAATAAGTGGATCCAAAGAGATCCTACATTATATGTACGGCTGGAAACGAACTGTCCTATATTTCAGGGGGGGGGGGGGGGGTGAATGGCATAAATTAGAGCAAGTGATATTGAGCCTGGCGAAAACGTCCAGGGATTACGTTGTCTTTTTCATTAAGTCCATAGAATGATTTGTGCTCTTCCATACGATAGCCAGCAGTTCCACACAAATACGGTAACAAACCGGTTGATCCCTGATTTGAGGAAGTCCTTAGACAAAGGTAACATAGTGCGTAACGAGTCTGTTGTAGAAAAAACGGCTATAAAAAGAATTCTCATTGCGGTAATTCCCAAAATCGTGACAACTCGTTCCTTCTACGGGTTGACTTCCCGACTTTGGTTGGCGACGAGGCCTCCTTGCGCCGACGCAGCTGGCAATAGATCTGGTCACGGTGTGGAGAGCACTGAAATGCTTGCTACTTATTCACAGGTTGTATCCGTATCAAACTTCCGTTGGTTGAAAGCAAAGTACCAAACAGAACTCCTCTTAAAAGCTATTGGTGACTTTACGACAATAGTCCTTCATCATTATTGTTATAAACATCACGTTGCCGAACTTCTCCTGTTATCGCCTAAAATAAATCGGTATCATCAAAACTACTGGTTGCTACCACGCGTGTGTACAGACTCATTTGAAGCCTATAACTGTTACTGTTATAGATCTTTTTTTTACACATCATGAGTTAGGGATTATTTGTAGTTTCGAACATTTAGCCGACGAAAATGTTTGAAATTGGCAAATGAAAAACTAGCATTTACGCGACGCGTCACGCAATCCGATCATCAGATACAAACTTGAATCAATGCACAAAACGTTTTTTAATACACAGCGATCAGGTACAAGTTTCTCTTGTAAAGTAATCATCACGTCGACTGGAGAACTTTTGAGGGGAGCGGAAGCTGTGGTAAAAACTATTACTTAACGTTCGTGTAAATGTTAAGATAGCTTAGAGCATCGAAGACAGCAGTAAGTGGAGGTGCTATATGCAAAATCACCAAATGAAGCCTCTGAACTTTAGGCTATTCATTGGAGAAACAATGGTTCAGATATACCAAACCATAACGATTCAAAAGACGCATTTGATCCGTTTGCTTTAGGCCCATACGCGTTTTTGTCCCTCTTGCCTGTTTTGTAATAGGCGATTTTTGGTCGATTCTTACCTGGCAGTTATCGACGCTGATACATCTCCATTTCTGTTATCCAGCTGTCTTCTTCACAAAAGTTTCCATGTACAGCCATATGCGACATCCAGCTAAAATTGACGAAAAGCGACCCTCTATGTTGGTAGATAAAACAAGAAATCACATGATATGAAGCTAGCCATAATCTGTAACGCAGAGAAGCGCAGACGCCGGTTTAGCGGCGGTAATGGCTTCTATTTCCCCAACACATCTAGTCGGCTGTCCTAACCAAAAGGTTCCGGACCATATATATATACAGCTTGCAAAAAATTTCTAGGCTACCTTTATGTTGGACCTAGTTGCTCCTACGAAGTCGTATTCCCACAAGCTTAGACCACATTTGAAGCCTTTAGTTGCAGTTCATCGTCCATCAACACTAACTCAATGCATGTTTTGGTCATGTAGCATAAGAAAGCGCATGTAAGTTGACTTCCAGTATCAAAAGCATTTTATGCAACATTTTGATCTAGATCGTATGTTGGCCATCAGAGATAATGAAATAGCTTGCAGGCTTCACCGCAGTTGGCGGTCTGACAGCGTGTTTTTTAGTTAAAAAATAGTATCTATGTCATTGATGTTTAATAATAACTAATGAAATTTCTTGGTGCAGTGCCGTCATAGGTTAAAGCTACATTTGGAAACATGCTGTTAA